TGCTCAATGTGAACTTGGTGGAGGAGGAGGAGGGGGGAGTGTCTATGCTCTCCTGGTGGAGAGGCGGATAGACCAAATGGGCGAATTTGGAACCAAAAATTAAAAAACTGAAAAAATAGCCTTGGGGTCAAATTAAAATGTGAATTTTAAACAAAGAAAAAAATTAAAAGCCTACACACTCCCCTTCGCCAAAAAATCTTTTGTGTTATCCATCTACAACATTCAAAACAAATTCAATTTTTTTTTCATTTTGTATCCCGTCCATATGTGCCGGCTCGGCCACTTTAAATTTTTTTGGCCCTGCCCTAGTGAGCCAATCCACGCCCGAACGACACTTAACTGTAATAACAAAGTCTTAAAATTGTGCTAAACTTACGATCAACTGTCCTTACTATAATTATTTGTAAGAAAATCAGGGTTACTGTACTACACTACGCCATAAAAGAAAGAGGGAGGGGGAAGCTTCAATATGTGACATTCAAAAATCCAAAATACGACCAAAAAACTTTTTTTTGATTTTCAATTAATAAATTTGCAGTTTCATGCTTTTAAATTCTTAAAACAAAGAAAAAAAGCTTTCTTTTAACAATAATTCTGTAAACTTTTTGACCAATATCATTACCTTGCCAATGCAAAATAAAAAATCATCGTGCTACAGTAAAAACGTTAAAAATTCTTTACTTTCCCCAATTATAAAGACTTCAACAACCTCCATAATAATACCTAAATCTGATCAAAAGCCATTAACAGCCTACAAGAATCAAGAGGGTGGAGCACCTAACCTCGACCACTTTACACAAAATATCAAGCGGTTTACAACCACTCATAAAGAGATCTGATTGGATTGGTTCAGAGTGTAAACCGATAAAGATACGAACTCAAGATAAGCAATCAAAGAAGGAAATGAGAATACGATAAGGTATACGATAAAGCAAGAGGTAAAAGGGTGTGTAAAGCAGATAAAAGATAGAAGTACAGTAAGGCTAAAGCAGAAATAAGCTAGGCAAAAACTTGAATAAGATTAGGCTTGGGGAAGGCCATAGTAAAAAAGACTATGTTAAGTATAAACATAGGTAATGCTATAGTAAGAACAGACTAAATTAAGGTTCGAGTAAGCCTATGTTGAGTTAAAGTAGAGTAGGGCTAGGATAAGAGAAAGTTAGAAGAAAGCCAAGATTAAGTAAAGCTAAAATAGACCTAGGGTAAGGCTAGCGCTAAATATAGACAGAGCAGGCCTAAGATAAGGCTAGAGTAATGCCATATTAGAGCTAAATATGATCCCTAAATGAAAGTTTTAAAAAATTCAAGGAGGGGGGGGGGAGAAGTTTTTAAAAAAATACTCACCCCTCCCCTCTTTTTTTTTACTTTCGGAAAAAGCTGTAAATCAAAAAACTTCTTCATCTTACCCCTCCCACTCCTACCCCCCCCTAAACCTTCAAAAAATGTTATACTAATTTTCAAAAAAAATCAAAAATAAAACATTTCAAGACCTCCTCCAGATAATATATCGTGGTCGATGACACACTTTTGTAATACGAAGAAGACCACGATGCATTGTAATGTCTTGTGTTATAATGAAATTTGCATAAATGGAAGAAGATTTGCTTGGAAACAAAATAAATCGAAATTAAGTGTTTTGAAAGCGGAACAAATAGTTACAAGATCTGGATTATAACGTGAAGAATATCATTCCAAAGATCAAGGATCTGATTGTTTCGTCGTTTTAAAGTCAAAATTTAAATATTTATGGAACGATAAGACGCCTTTAGACAAAATATTCCTGAAATCGTGAGAAGATATCTGCTTTTAAAGAAAACAAAAATTTAATTTTTAGAAAGTTTTTAAGAATTACAATATTACAGAATCATGATGACATAAAGTAAAATTAAGATAAGTAGGATAAAGCTAGTGTACGGCTAAAAAAAGAGCAATTCAAGGATAAAGAAAAGCGTGGGTAAGACTAGAGAATAAGACTAAAATGTAAGATAGAACAAAAGTAAGATCAATATAAGACGCAAATATAAAGGTAAAGTATAGCAAAAGAAGAAGGTCAAGTTAAGATAAAGGTAGGATAAAGAGTTTGGGCTAGGCCTTTGGGCTGGGGCTTTGGCTAGGACTAAGAATAGGGATCCGAGCTAGGGCTCTAGGATAGGATCTGAGCTAGGGCTAGGCATGAGAAAAGCGCCGAGTCAAGCCTGGACTAAATTAAGATCAAGCCGAACTCAAAAGCCCGGCTCGTTTGGACGTAAAAAAGTTTTAACCGGGCCGGCCCGCAGCTAAGTTTGAATCAAGCCAGACCTTAAAAATAGGCCCGGTCCATTCTCCATGTCTAGCTAGAGCTAGGGTTCTGGGTTGGGGCTAGCGCTCTGAGCAAGGACTCTGAGCTAGGGCTAGGGTTAGAACCAAGGCTAGGACTAGGACTAGAGCAAATATTAAATCTAGGGCTCCGGGCTAGGGCTATAGGCTAGGACTCTGGGCTAAGGCTCTGAGCCAGGGCTTTGGGCTCTGAGCTAGGGCGCTGTGCTAAGACTCTAGGATAAGGCTCTGGGCTAGGGCTATAAACTAGGGTTCTTGTCTAAGGCTAGGTAAAGCTCAAATAAGATTAAAAAATACCTAAAATAAAAAAATCTGAAAACTCTCAAAAGATACTTAAAATCAAAAATCTCTAGTTTAGGTAACAGTTTACGTTCCCGTCGGCTCGATATCAAGTAAAAGTAAAACCGAAAGCTGACCACAAAAAAGGCGACTCAATCGAGTAGTGAAGTGACCTTGCCAAGCGATGGTAATTGTGGAAGCGGGCTGCAAATCACAACTATAATATGGCGTGGAATGTAATTTTCACTTTTCCATTGATTTTAACTGTAAAGTCGTTGCCTCGAGGCTATTTTTTATAAATTGTGAAGAGTAGAGGTGTAAAATGGCAAAGTACACAAACTTTTTGAACTTTAGGTAAAGATTTTGTCATTTTCGAGAGAAAACATCATTTTCTAATAAATATGTCAGCATGACAGCAAGAAGATCTAAAAATATGTTATTATCAAACAAAAAATGTCATTTTCTAGAAAATATGTCACCGTAACAATAAAAAATCTAAAAATATGTCATTGTAAATTAAAAAAATTTTTTTTTTAGAAAATATGTCATCAAAAACCCAAAAAATACTAAAAATATGACGTACAACAAAAAACGCCATTTTATAGAAAAATGTCATCATGACAATTTTTTTTTATTTTAAAATTTGAAGATAACTCAATCTCATAAAACCGTCGACTGTACCAAAACACCCCGCTTAACTGATATAAATTCGTACGTCAAAGAATGACCTTTAGGTTGGGTTAATTAGCCGCAATCAACCTTGACTGAAGTTCCGTTTTAACGACCGTGTAATTTGCGGATATTCAAATTATAAGTTTAATGCTTTTCTTGGCGGGTCACATCGAAGGTTCGCGAAGGTTCTTACGATACCATACCCTACCATAACATACCATAAAATACCATACCATACCATACCCTACCCTACCCTACCCTACCCTACTACATCGTACTCTAGTTTGCTGTGTCCTACCATACTTTGCGCTGTCCCAACGCCTGGTCCTGTAAAGATACCGAAGCAGACCTTGATTTGGGCGTTTGCCCTCGGCCCACACCGACCCGGCCCCTTTCAAATTTTTATCGAGCCATGCCAAGCTTAATAAACCTCCCCCCCCTTACGGGGCCATGCCTGGTAATTTTAGAAAGCGAAGGTGGGTTAAAACCCAATTCATTTAAAAAAAGATCCGCCTTGCAAAGAAAATAGAAAAAAAAACCGAAAAAAAACAGAAAAAACGCCTGAATACCTTCAAAAAATCCTAGATTTTAGTTATTTATCCGCTGTTTTTTCAGAAAAAAGCCTTTACCTCAAAAAACACATGTAAACGTCCCGGATTTACACTTGAATTCATTCACATTAAAGCAATAACATATATTTTTCACTGTTTTTTATCATATGTTACCTACATATACAGTGAAAACTTTTTGTAATGTATTAGGTGCCGACATAAAGAACCCGCTATAGTACCGCCATTTGTTACATAATTTTCCTGTAAAAATGGCGGGTTCTTTATGTCGGCACCTAATTCTCCTCTGTATCAAGTACAAGTATAAAGAACTCTTTTATAACAAACTCTCGTATGTATACTCCATAATTATTTATTGGTCAGGTTTTAAGCAAATTTCATACGAACAAATTGAATAATTCACAAGATTTAGAGGTATTAGAAATGGGTAATATTCAACATAGATTAAATTAGCATTGAGTACAAGGTATGAATATTGTAGTTGTTTTTCAAGCTCAAACAATCATTTTAGACATCAAAAACAGCTGACAAACCAGGAATAGGAAGTTGATAAAGTAGAGACAGGCAAGTGGCACCAGTTTAGGTATAAATAATACTCGTACAAAGCCAAATTGAGTAAAACGTTATTAAAACCCGATACAATTAAGCACAAACGGTACTAGTACCAAAAGTGCAAATAAGTACTAATAGGAACCAGTACAAGACAAATCTGAGTAAAAAAAGTAGTAAAATGCAATAAACTAGTATGGGTACCAAAAAGTACAAGTACAGATAGTATTAGTACCAAAAGTGCAAATGAGTACCAATAAGACCAATACAAGATAAAAATGAATAAAAAAGTACTGAAACCTAATACAATTGAGTACCAAAAAATGTAAAATAGTACTAATAAGACCAGTACAAGATAAAATGAATTGCAAACAGTACTGATACAATAAAAAATGAGTACTAGTACTATTTTTACTAAAATCAGTACCAATACTACTTATACTCAATTAAATTACAAAATTCAGTCCAAATAGTACTAGTACTCATGAAAATTAATAAAAAATAGTACTAACGACCATAAAGTAATAATACGACTGACAGAAGAAAAGACCTAAAATAAGACTTACAGAAGACAATATATAGTAACATAAGTTCTATAAGTCAAACGTAAGACCTCTAGTACCGATACATGACGTTGGCCAAGCATTTGTTGATGTCCTCGGCGCTGACCATCTTCCTTCCCTCCTTGGACGCCAGCTCCATAGCACATTCGAACAGATCCTCGCACATGGCTTGAGTACCAGCTGCCAGTACCTGTACCACTTCCTGTTTGTGCTTCTTCTTGCCGTCCTCGTCCAGAAGGGCCCGGATCTGTTCGGTTGGAATCAGACACGGCTTGTCCTCGTCCAGGGCCGGGCGTTTGACCAGCTTTGGGGGTGGGCTGATGTCCGAGCTGGTCGATGGTCCTGGAGCCGCAGTTGAAGTGCCTGGAGCACCAGATGAAGGTCCTGCAGCAAAGTTTGATAGTACTGAAGCTTCTTGTGCTAGTGGTCGTTTCGATCGCCCTGCAGCTAAGCCTGACGATCCCGCAGCTAGACGTGATGGTCCTGCAGCTAGTCCTGATGGTCCTGCGGCTGAGCTTGATGGTTCTGAAACTAGACCTGATCGTCCTGGAATACGATCCCAAGGTCCTGCAGCTCTCTTGACTACGATGCCCGGCCTTTCTAGAGCCTCTTTCAATGAGTTTGGTACCTTCAGCGGTGTAGTCGAAGGAGCTGCTTCTTGAACTGGTTTTAATGGTCCTGGTCGGTCAGACATAGTGATTGGTGAGCTAAAAACAATATCAATGTTAAAGAGTTTGCAGCTGAAATAATTGCGTATTCTAAAGCTGATTCAATAAGAATGACGCATTTTAAAGCTGATGCAAAAAGAATGGCGCATTTTGAAGTTGACTTAAAAAGAACGGCGCATTATAAAGCTGATACAAAAAGAATGGCGCAAAACCAAAATTCACAAAAAATTTTTAAAAAAACTAAAAACACAACAAAAAGATAACAAAACGGCACAAAACCATTCACAACACACAATACATCTACATCAATATCAAGTAAAATCGTTTTTATTCGATAAAAATCAATATAAAACTCAACAAGAATGTAAAAGTATATGTTCTGTACATAACAAAGTATTCATTAAATCAACAAACAACATTGTAATCATATTTTTCTATTTAAAAATGGCACTTTTTCTTTGATTTGCAGCCAAAAAATGTCATTTTTCCCTCAATTTTAAATCAAAAAATCGATTTTTTCTATAAAATTCTGAAAAAAACCTAAACGTTTTGCAAATCTATATTATCCATCCCATTTCTAACCCAATCCAAAGCTTTTTCAACAGATTGTATACCTATATCCTCTGCATAACTCCAGCTGGGTCCATGGCCGCGTGAACCAGAGTGATATGCCCTTGAATTGATGACATTTGCTTTCGTATTTGCTCCAGTTTACTCTCTAGTAGTGACAACTTTCTTTCCACGAATTTATTGGCTCTTTCGTATTCCATCTCCATGAAAATGTCATCGTACAAGCAAACTATGATTTTGGGGTTAGCTGGACTGAAAAGTATAAAAATAAGTTAAATTTTTAAACTTTTTAAAACCTGAGAAAAATAATGTCAAATCTTAGCAAAACTTATAAGGTACGTCAAGCAAGAGGCCTCTGATTTAACATTTTTTCAAGATTCCATCAAAATTTCAAAAAATTTTTAAAAATTCAAAAAATTATTAAATTTTTCAAAATTTTTAAAATCTGTGGTTTAAAGGTTTTTTTATTGTCTGCCTCTTGACTCAATACTTTTTCAAAACTGTATCAAAACTTCAAAAAACCTTTAAAAATTTCGAAAAAAAAACTTTGCACCGTGCAAAACCAAAAGCTTCTCAAAACCATTAAAAAACGAAATTTAACAAAATTCGACAAACTTACATTTCCGCTTGTGTATAAATATTGTGTCCAAGGTTTGTCATGATCCTTCTCTCCGTTTTCTGGCCAAATTCGAGTTCTTTGTCCAAGAACATTCGTATATTAACGTACTCTTCAATTTCTTCCGCCACTTTGCCATAACTGTCGTTGGCTTCGAGTAAATCCGTTTCCAACTTCTTCAGAAACTCCATCGACTTGTTCTTCAGCTCTTCGGAAATTGTCGCGTCTTCAGACATTGTTTTAGGTTTTTAAAAAATCAAATAAACTAAACGGCGTATTTTACCTAAAACAACATGAATTAGACTAAAAATACCACGCCCTGACAAAAGTACGTCTCTTTCTAAACAAAAGCCCCAATAATAAAAAAAAGTATAATTTAAAAATGTCATATTCCTCAAGAAAAGCTTTAATAACAGCCCAAAAAAGACCAAAAAAACAAAGAAAATCAATAACAACATCACTAAATCAAGTATCAAGTGCCATAAAAACACGTAAAAACTCTTCAAAACCTCCGTCACAAGCCGTGGCTAAACTTTATCCGTCAATATATTGTAATTCTATTAAGTTTTCTATGGTTTTATCACTACATGAGGTCAATATAGGTCTAGTTCAGTCTTCAGCGACGGCCAAATCCATGCCCATGAATGGGGCCAACACGTCGCGAAACATGTCAAAAATGCGGATTAATGTGGTCCGATCGAGCCGCTTGTAGTGCATGATCGCTTCCACATGGAATTCGCCGTTGAAGAAGGGTTGGAGGCTGAAAATGGCAAAATTTTCAAAACTTAAAAAATTCAAGAATTGAAATTTTTTGAAAAAAAGCAAATTTACTATAAAATATGCTAATATTCAAGTAGTTTTAATATGCTTAATCGTTTTTTTACAAAAAATTGCATTTCCAATCAAAAATCCTACTTTTTATGTTTTCGTGATGGGACCCAAAATATGTATACTGACAGTATAAAAGCTTATTTCAAAACCAACTATTGGCCATTTTTACAACTTTTTTCACACTTATTGCTCTACAACTCAATACTAACAGCACAGTAACCACTTTTACACCTACTCTGTAGGTCCCACCACGAAAACATGAAAAGAACATGTTTCTGCTTAAACCACCATTTTGGAAACCCTAAAATATGACTAACCATACTTAAAATCCCCCTAAAACATTCAAAATGTCAAAAACCTACGACAAGAATGTGCTAAGCAACAAGAAGTAATCGGATTCGGCTAGGCCGACGCGTTGGGCGTCCGCCGATATGCGGGTTAATGCCTCTCGATACAGGGGGTCTTTGATTTGTCTCAACTGGGTTTTCACACGATTCGACAGGAGAGCGGCTTCGGTTTCCGTTACCGGAGTCTTGAAGCGTTGTGAGAGGGAAGAGGGTGGCATCATGAAGAGGTAGGTGTGGAGTTGGATTAGGAAGTTGTTGCGGAGGAGGAACACCAGCATCTGCTTTCGGATTGTAATGTTAGTGTAGAGGGAAGCCTGAAATTACATTTTTTAGAATTAATTTTCCAAAAAATTTTTATTTTTTCAAAAAAATCCACATGGGGGACCAAGCTCAACTTTTTGAACATTTTTTTTCTGAAAAACCATGCCTTACCCAAAAACCCTGACCTGAAAGAAGGCCCACTAGGCCCGGCCGGCTGTCGGATAGGCCGAAAAATTAGAGCCCGGCCCTTTACAGATCGACCCTGCCTTACTCATATTGGCCACAATTTCAAGCCCTTCTAACATTCATCAGCCTCAATCTGAAACCCACCCCAATTTTAACCATCTTCAATACGAAACACTCTCCTATATTCACCACCCTCGCTCCAAAAACCTCCCCAATATTCCCCTACCTCCTCCATGAAGTCAGCTAGAGTGCAAGGTGGATGAAAGCAGGACAAAAGCCTTGGCAGTGAGACCTCAGGGAACTGATCTTTGAAGAGTTTCTGGGTTCCTTGTGTTATAACTTCGCTCTGAGCCGTTGAGTACAAGTTACTTGAACATATTGGGTAGATGACTTTAGCTCTGGCCCATAAGAGGTAATGCCTTACCACGTCTTTGATCTGTTTTAGAGGGACGTTCGAGGCGAAGCTGATGTCTTCGATGCTAAAAAGATGGTGTATTTCAATTCATTGAACCATCCACAGTTATCCAACATCTTCCCAATGACTTACCCATAACCCTCCCAGTGACATACCCAAAACCCTCCATATGATATACCCAAACGCCCCTCCTTCCAATGAAGTACCCAAAACCCTCTCAATAACATACCTCTTTTCAATGTCGTGATGTTCGAAAAACTTGACCACACACGGATTGGAGTCTGGTCCGGACTGTCCATCTTCAAAGAACAACACCGTATGATAGGGATGTAGAGCATTCATCAAAGCATCCACATACTTTGTCGAGTTCGGAGTGATTAACCAGCCATTCAGAGTCATCGGTGCTATCGAGAAGCCTACGTGAATACAGTCGTTGACGAAAATGTCCATGATTCCAAAGTCGCAGACGTCTTCGTAGACGGCTCGTAGACATCGTGCTAGATTGCTTTCGTCTGAAATCGTGAAAAATGTTATCCTCAAAGTAACCCAAAACTCACTCTCAATATCAATGAAAGGATTGTAACTTTCGTCATCACAGCTTTCCGCCTTGTCCAATAAAGGTTGTATGACTTGGATCTGTTCCTTCAAGTATCCACATCGTTCTTGTTCATTATGTATAGCTACTACCAGTTTCCGACTCAAGGATTGGAACGATTCTACAGTGTAATTAGAGCATGTTCCTGGGAGGACGAATATTATCGATATGCATTGACCAGCTTTGTTGATTTGCCATGGAACACCCGCGTACCTGACATTATCCACCTTGATTTCGAATGGCACTCCTCGAACTTCCTCTTTTGGTTGGAGTAGAGCTGCTAGCATCTTTACTGGGAACCTGGAATATCAAAACAATGTTAAAAGAAAACATTTTTAAATCTTTTTTAAATGTTTACAATTTTTTAAATTTTTATAAACTTTTCGGTTTTCCAACCCTTCCAACTACTCATACCTACAAAATCCTCTCAAATCTTACGTTGGTATTCTGTCTTCGTGCTTTTCCCTCTTTTCATTGTGAGTTTCGACCCGTTTATTGGCAACTTCCAGCCCTAGATTCACTTGTTTCTCAATCTCCTGCTCATCATTTTCTTGATTTTCAGGTGGTGTCAAGAATTCTGTCGATTCCGAACGTGTTTGCGCAAGTTTTGAAGCTAAAAACATAAATTTAGGAACATAAAACGTTGCAAATTCAGTGCTTTATTAAAACGCGTGGTTATCGATAGTTAAATTTGTCAAAAAACTAATTTATTTGCCGAAAAGAATCGAAAAATATCGAGAAAACTTTTCAAATACCCCTGAGGCAAAATCTTTCATTTTCAAAACCAATTTCACACAAAACTCGTCAAAAATAACACCATAACACCCGTAGATCTTCAATCCATCTTCTCCAATCATTCAAACCTAAAAGCACAAACAAAAACATCAAAATTTACCTTGTGGAATATCGATAACATATGGAAACTTGAACAAGATCCTTTCCGGCGTTTCGTCCTTGGCAATCAGCACAATACCCAACGGCTTCTCATTCTTTTTCATTTGTGGCATGTTTCAGCCCCAAATCCACCCGTCTCATCGGTTTTATCCCTGAAAAACAATTACGACATGACAATATTAACATAGACACCAATCAAGGTCTTTAAACCCCTTTTTTCAACAAAAATATAGTTAAAATTGCCAATGACAATATCAAACGTTCAAAAATGTCTTTTATAACGTAATTACAACACTTATTTATATTAAAGTTAATCAAATTGTAACAAATAATAGCAAGCTTGAGAAATATTTGATATTAGAGATCATTTGAATTGAAGCGACACTTGGTGTTCAAGTATGAGGTTTTTCAGGTCACGAACGTCAAAATCTTCCGACAGCTGGTCAGTAATTCGTACAAAATTACCAACCAATCGTTCCTTTGAGTAGATTTGCAAGGTTGGCAGAGCTGTTTCCTTCTAAAATTATATTATAGTAGATCATTCGTTTTCTTTTATTTATTTATTGCAATTGTGCTTCTATTCTCTTAAATTCATCAAGATAACTTACAAACTGTTTAGTCAGATCCAAAACACTCGCCCTGACCTTGTAGTACCGCGTATTTTTGGTCTGAGAAGCCAAGTCCAACAAAGATTCATTGAGTGTCTGTGTAGCTTCAAGACCGTCACGATAGATGTGAATCACGACGTCTCCCATTTCTTTTGTGCTTTCGATAACGTTAAGGAACTCATCTTTGTTAGGTAACTCTACAATTCGAGTTCGATTCATGTTTTTCAAGTGTTCTAGACGCTTTTGCCTGATAGCTTCCAACGCATCCTCATCATCGTCGGATTCTTCCTTCTTTCCAGACAATGAAAATCTTTCCGCTTCTTTCAGTAACTAAAAAAATACTGTAGATATAGAAGATAATATTTTTTGTAATTTTTAAATTAAGGTGTTTGATTTAATTTGAGTTTTAGTTCGATTTATATTGTTTTAGCCTTCAAAAAGAAAATTTTTCCTTTTTATGTTTAAAACTCGCGTAAAAGCTGCTAATATCATGAAACTCCATTAAAATCAATACAAAATTAATTAGAATGTTCTCTTTTCTCTATATTGACCATGGCAACCCGAGGATTTTATCATAAAGCTCAGAAACATCACCATACTTCATCAACACCTAAAATACCAAAATTTCAATCTAAAATCTCACTTTTTTCTCCTGTAGCAATTGCTTATACTTCATAGCATGTTGAGCATCCCGATAGTCGGTCAAAACTCCCTTGGGACCGGTTTGTGGCGCATTCCTTGGGTCCGATGGTCCCTTTGATGGTGCTGATGGCTCTGGTTCATCCTCATCGGACGAAGAACAATATCCAACGTTCGGTCCGTCCAAGTAGCGCTCATCTAACGTTGCCATTGGCGTTTTTTAGCGAAATAACGCGAATTTTGCGACGAAATTTATTGGGAAAAACGTCGAAAAAATGAATTTTTGAGAAGCAAACGGAATGCCAAATGAAGAGAAAATGGCGCGCAAAAAAGTGGTTTGAAAGCGAGTTTTCGGCTTATTTTTAGATTATTTGATAAAAACTATATGAATATAAGTAGTATACAATAATTTTTGTCATCTACGAGATTATAGTTAACAAGTTTTTATTGTTTAGGTTGTAAAATTCAATGTTCTTTGAGGTGTCTCAAGGAAAACTGATGTGTAAGTTTATTTGTTTAAAATAACATATCAATATGAGCCAGAACACAACGTTTTTAGATTTAAAACACTTTAAAAATAATATTATGTTTAAAATTACAAGTTAGGAACATTTTTTAACGATAAAATTGGCTTTTTGAGCTGTTATATTAATCATGAGCTTGAACGACGATGGATAGTTCGATATTTTTAGTCATAACTTTTTTTTAAAAATATTTGGAGATTCAGAACTTTGGGTATATGTTTCCCATCCTGTTTGTCTACTAATTTATTAATTAAAATTTTTTAATTTACAAAACTTTTAAAGTTACAGCGATTTCAGTGAGTTCTACATTGAAAGTTCAGAAAGTTTTGGAGAGACTTTTGAAAACAGCTCAAATCTTTAAGAAAATGATAATATATTCAAGTAAAAATAATTCAACAGTATCAGTACAATATTTTCTTGTTATCCAATAGCAATTCCAGGCAAAATAGTGGGTATTCCAGGTGGTAAAGTAGGTAACAGAGTTGGAAGCGGTGGAAACAAAGTTGGTCTCGGGGTTGTCAAGACCGGTAGAACGGTCGGCAAAGTTGGTAACGGTGTTGTTGGGGTTGGAAAAAGCGTGAATAATGTTGGTTGATTGGGGAAGACAGTAATCACTGGTATTGCAGGCAGAGGGAAGAGTGTAGGTTGTGTTGTAGGTAATGGGGGCAAAGTTGGTGCTGGGGTTGGAGTTGGGAATAGAGTTGGAAAGTTTGGCCATAAGGTTGGGATTGGTGCAAGTAATGGTCTTGGAGTTGTGGTAAATAAAGGAGGTAGCGTTGGTAAGGTTGGGAGGATGATTTGTCGTTTTTGGAGAGATTTTTGGCCGTTTTCCGCTGATTTTTCGTCTTTTCGGTCGTTTTTAGGTAACATTTCGACATTATTTTGATCTTCTACCGCCTCTAGGGCATTTTCGGTTCCATTAAGACCAGATTCAATACTATTTTGATCTAATCCTTCTAGTTTTTGATCGTTTTCCGCCATGCTTTCCGCGTTTTTCAGTAGTTCGTTTGCTAATCCAGATATTTTTATAAAATGCGAATTGTTGTGTTTAAAATGTAGATTTGTTGTTATGGAAGTGTTGAAATCTATAACAATGGAAAAAACATCAATATGACGCGTAATAGTTTCTTCGAACACCAATACAAAAGGTACTTCACCATCACACTGCAAGTACAATATATTAGTATAGGGAAGTGAAATTTGGATAAAATAGGCTAGTGTTGTTTATGAAAGGCTCATAGAACACTTTTTTACTATACGATAATAGTTTTAGGGTTAAAGGGTTTTTTAAGGAAAAAGGGGGTTTGCACGGTGCAAAAGAAATAAATGAGGACTGCACGGTGCAAAGGAAATAAATAAGGACTGCACCGTGCAAAAACTAAAAAAATTTTAAAAAATGAAAAAATTTATTAAATTTAAAAAAAAAAATGAAAATTGAAAATAAAATTGATAATACAGTGGTAATGAATTCTTACCAGTTGGAGGCACAAGAGTAGGTAATCCAGGAAGTATGGCTTTGACGGCTAGGCCAGTGACTGGAGTTCCGTTAATAGTGGGGGAGCCTGGAATTATTAAAGCTGGTATTGGGGTTGTTATGATACCTAAAAGATAATTTTTTATTCTTTAGGGCAAATTTTTTGAAAATTTTAAAAATTTTGAAATTTCAAAAATTAAAAAAAACTCATAACATACCCATAGGATTAGGCATACCAGGAGCACCAGGTAAAGCTGGAGATCCAGGTGCTCCAGGTAGCCCACCCAGAGGTCCCGCTGATCCAGGTGCTCCAGGTAAAGCACCAGCTGGACCAGGTAAAGTTGGCCCTGCCGACGGTGGTGCTGGGGCTCCTGGAGCTGCAGGTACAGCTCCTGGCAATGTTGGTGCACCTGGTGCTAAAGGTAGGGCTCCTGGTATTGCTGGAGCTCCTGGCGAAGGTGTTACTCCTGGAGCGCCGGGTAGTCCTGCTGGGGCTGCTCCGGGCGCTCCAGGTGCTGCAGGAGCGCCAGGTGGTCCCGGTGGTTTAGTAAATAGTCCAGGGAACAGCACTTCCAAAGGTGGGAAAGTAGGCCCTGGAGGTAACGTAGGGAATGTAAAGTTAGATAGATCCAGCTTGAATGGTGCAGGTATAGTTAGTAGTCCAGGTGGAGGCATAGTCGTCGGAGCACCTGGGTTTAATGGAGCGGCTGGTCCAGCTGGTGCTAATGGATTAGGTAAAGCTGGTGCTGCTGGTGCTCCAGGGGCTGCAGGTGCAGCTCCTGGCAACGCTGGTGCACCTGATGCTAAAGGTAGGGCTCCAGGTACTCCTGCCGGGCCACTAGGTAGCCCTCCTGGTGCTGCTGGAGCACTTGGAGCCCCTGGAGCAGCTGGAGCCCCCGGAGCAGCTGGAGCTCCAAGAACTGCTGGTGGAGCACTTAGAGGTCCTGGTAGAGTCGCTGGGGCTCCTGGTGCAGCTGGAGTGGCTCCAGGGATAGCTGGTGCAGCGGGGAGGCCAGGTAATGCTGGAACACCAGGTATTGCTGGTCCACTTGGTGGTATGTTGGTAGGTGGGAAGACTGATACAGCTGGGTCTTTTGAGCCGGGTAATGGTACTCCAAGTGGGATTGGAGGGGGGATCCCGAAGTTTGGTGGGTCTGAAAGTCACAGTATTATATCGGGTAGGGTAGGGTAATTTATGATAATGTAGGGTACGATATATCTTACCTAACAAAGGTTTAGGTATATTAGTAGGTAGTACTCCAGGCAATGGTGTAGAAGACACCGCACCAGGTAGTCCAGGAGGGGGTACTAACGTTGGCAGTCCAGGCGGAGGTGTTGTAGGTATTCCAGGCAGTCCGGGAACAACCGGCGGTGGTAATGTTGGCCGTCCAGGTAGCCCAGGAACTGGGGTGGGGAAGATCAGTGGAGTTGGGGTAGTTACTCCGCCGAGCGGTGGAGGTATAATACCTATTGGGGGTGGTGTAGCCATGCCAAGTGGAGGTGGTGTAGCCATCCCTAGTGGCGGTGGAGTTCCTATACCCAATGGAGGAGGTAGTCCAGGCATTCCAATGGGTGGCGGGCTAGGTAAGCCAGGTAGTCCAGGTGGAGCTAAAGTTGGTGGTCCAGGTATGCCACCTGGAGGTATACCGGGAGCTCCTGGAATCAGTGTCGTAGTGGTAATAAGTTGACCTAGTGGTGGCAACATAGGAGGTGGGGTTGTAATAGGTATACCTGGGACTACTGTAGGAACTCCAGGGATTACTGTAGTCATCATTCCTGGAAATGGTGGTGTTGGTGCACCTGGTAATCCAGGTAATGGTAGAGGCTGTCCTGAGCCATCCATTGGTCCAAGATTAGGAACATTAGAATTGTTAGGTCCAACTGGTGTACCAGGTCCAATAGGGCCCCCATTTGGTAATATTGGTGAACCAGGGCCACCAAGGTTGTTTGGAGTTCCAGGAGCACCAGGAGGGATCATACCTGGAATAGCGGGTTGGTTTCCAGGATTTGAAATTGGTGTACCATTTATACTAGGTGCTCCATTAGGTCCAATTGATACTCCATTCGGTCCGATTGGGACTCCATTAGGTCCAAGTGGAGTTCCATCTGGACCAAGAAGTGTGCCATTAGGACTGGGTGGTAATCGATCATTCATCGCACTATTTGGTACTGTTGGTACTATTAAAAGTGGAGTACCATTCTCAGGAGATTCAACTTCCCATGGCCTTGAAGGCGTGGTACCATCGTCTCTTCGTACTCTTTTAGTACTGTCTGAGGCTTCTTGACTTGTTTCGGTACTATCTTCATTTGATCTAGTACTATCTGGATCATTGTTAGTATCATCCAGTCTATCGTGCTTAAAATTAGTACCACCTGGAGTAGGAAAATCATCATTGGTACTAGTTACACTATTTTTATTAAAAGTAGTACTATTTTGGTCATCAAAATCATTTTGAGTACTAGCGCTGCCAGGTGAATCATTTTTAGTACTCTTTAGAGTACGGTGGCCATAATTAGTACTATTTAGCTCACGGTGATTATGATCAGTACTATCTACATCATTTTTAGTATAAGTGGTACCATTTGGCTCATTAAGCTTGTCAATAGTACTATTTGAACTACTTTGATTATAGCTAGTGCCATCTTGAGTGAAACCAGTACTATCTACAGCATTTACAGTATCATTTAACGTACGCTGGTCATGGTTAGTACTATGTAGATTAGGATGATTACGATCAGTACTATCTACATCATTTTTCGTATAAGTGGCACCATCTTGCTCATTAAAATCACCAGCAGTACTATTCAAACCACGCTGATCATAACTAGTACCATCTTGAGGAAAACCAGTACCATCAGCACCAAAAACAGCACTTTCCAGCCAATATACCTCCACTATCACCACTACAACAATACTCACACGCAGAAGCAAAGACATAATGAAAGCACAGCCGTCTGTCGCCAAATCCCCTTTGTCAGATTACCTTGTTTTGGTTAGCCTTTAATTGTGTTTTTGTTTTTTTTTGTAATTACTATTCCTGGATTTCGAATTTTTCTCCCATTGAAACACGGAAATTTATGTAAAGTCTGGCTTGGTGTATTAGCTAAAAGGGATCGCTATTGTGATGTTGTTGATGATGGAGTTGAGTCATGGATAATATGGGCTATTTTTGTAATGGTTAAGGTGAAAAGTTAATGTTTAGAAATCAGACGAAGATCAAATTATCTTTCTTATTGCACTACCAAGGTTTTAAAGTAGGCATGGCGAAGGTGAACTTTAGGAAGGAGGAGGGCGGTAGTATTAAAAAATTAGAGGTAGAGTAGTTATTGTAAAAAGCAAAATACTGAAGGTTTTTAGACGATGGTTAAGGTAAGGTAAATTAAGCCAGGGCTAAGGCTAGGGTAAGGCTAGAACTTGGGTATGCCTAAGATACAGCTGGGGTTGAGCTGAGCTAGGGATAAGGCTAGGGTTTTATAATGACAGCTCCTTCACCGCCCTTTTTAATAGAACCCCTATCAAAGGTAATGGTAAAAGGAAAGTTAGAAACTAGGTGATTACTGTTAAAAGAGTGCGGTACTGGGAGTGCGGGAGTATGCTAAGTTAAGTTAAGGCAGGTTTAGAGTAGGGGAGTATGACTAAGGTAACACTATCGGATAGAGCTGTCTGTGGTCTTCAGGTAGGTTTCTTTGCTAGAGCTTTGGCTAGGGCTCTGCGCTAGGGCTCTAGACTAGGACTGTGGGCTAGGCCTCTAGGCTTGGACTTGGGCTCCGGGCTAGGGCTCTGGGCTAGGGCTCTGTGCTAGGGCTCTGGGCTAGGGCTGTAGGCTAGGGCTCTGAGCTAGGACTCTGGGCTAGGACTTTAGGCTAGCGCTTGTTATTCCAATAATTTTCATGTGAACACAACTTCTGTTTTTAAAATTTGTAAACTATTATATAAAGGTTACTAAAAAGTTTTGTTTATGAAAGCTCACCAGATTGTTAAAAGTTCAAACACTAATATCAAGCGGAAATGATATACACCAAACTGTTATAGTAATCTACCTGTTCAGCTTGACAACTGTGAATGAAAGGATTACTTGACGCTGTGATTCAAACTTCAGAATTCTTTTTCTTACTTCGGATACAAAACTTGATGTCAGGTGTGTCAGAACATTCAGCAGTAATGTCATTATCTAACATAACGGTTGTTACCTCCCGAGATTCTACTATAATTTGTATCGTAACTGTGTAAAGCAATACACATAATGTAAAGCAAAATACCTTTTATTATAAAAAGCTATGGTAGTAAACACAAATTATTTGTATATATTATAATATAGGTGTTTGTTGATATATGTAGTACTTTTGTTTTTCGTATAACACACTTTTGAGTACAAAATAAAGTAATAATTGGTTCTTTCTAGATATCACATAGTTCGTTTTTACAAAATATATATTATATTATATGTATTTACAATATTTTACGCTTTCAAACGTATTTTCAATTGTATATTTAAAAGTAAAATGCACTTTATGTTTTTTGAAAACAAAATAAAAGTTTGACAATGCTTTTAATCTGTTCGAAATTTGTTGAAAATTGAGTTTTAAAGGTTTAAATAACCGTCTACATCCGGGTTTTAAATCGGCATAAGCTAAAGTAAAGGAGCAAACTAGAGTGAAATAGGATTAACTTAAGAGTATATTACAATAACGATGGTAATTATAAGGTAAAATCAAAAAGAGAGAAATAGTTATTGTAAGGTCAGAAAAAAGCAGTAAGTCAGCAAGAAAAAGTAGGTTAAATTATAAGGTAGGGTTAGTAGAGTAGGGTAGCGAAGGGTAGAGTAGAGTAGAGTAGGGAAGTGTAGGGTAGAGTAGGGTAGGGTAGGGTAGCAAACGTAAATCAATAGGGTAGGGTAGGATAGGATAGGATAAGTTAAGGCAGGGCAGGGTAAATTCTAAAACGACACAACAGAACGAAACACAAGGTCAATACCTAAAAGCACTACCACAACAAACAAACCGAAACCAATTTGCCGTTTTTCCCAAATTTTAATAAATCTTCTCCACGTGACAGCTACGGTTGCGGTGTCGAAATTAGCGGCGTTTCATCTGTTTTCTTTTGGACTTTTCGCTTTGTAGCCGAAATGAGTCAATTCAGCTGATTTTGGTCGCCGCGCGGCCATCTTTGTTTTGGAAGAAGATGGCCGTGTCAATAGGGATCTTGATTTGGAGATTCATTTGAATTTTAAAAAATTTCTAGTTAAATTTTTTTTTATTTTTAAGGGGCTTAGAGACCATAAAAAACAAAAAGTTTTTTTAGTTAGCCTTCCCTACTTTAACCTACCTTAAATTATCTTACCATACCTCACCTTACTTTTCCCTACCCTACTCTACTCTACCCTACCCTACCCTACCCTACCCTACCCTACCCTACCTCACACTCTACCTCGTACATTACCTCTTCCTTTACCACCTACCATACCTCGTACCGTACCTCTTACCATACTTTCTACCCTACCTGCTCTATTTTATAGTATCCACTATTGTAGCTACTTTATGTGATACACTGAACTGTCTAATAATGCTGTAACTAATTTTGTGCTTTACATATTGTCTCCCCCTCCCTCTCTCAACTCTACCCTACCCTATTTTGAAGCTTTCCATGCTGCTTAATTATTTCCGGCAGTAGCTGCTGTATATTATACCCTAACCTATCTGATTATGTTAAAACCAATCCCACTCTTTACTTGATATGTATTCCCTTTGTACCTCTCTATCTATCGCTGCTACTTTTTACCCTCCACCATTCCCATGCTGCTTCTTACCCTTCACTATTTCCATACTTTACCCCACTAAGGCACAATGTCATCATACCTTCTCTACTCTACCCTATCTTAAATTTACTTTATATATCTCCCCTTTATCCTTCACTACCACTTTTTACCCTTTCATTATTCCCAGACTTTACCCTACTAACATGTCATGTCATCATACCCCCATCAACCATCACTGCCAACACTTTTTTTGCACAAACTTTGGAAAAATTAATGAGTTTTCTAATTATTCCCCTGTTTCTGCCCTACTTTATCGCTCAAAAAAATCAAGAGATTGGCCATTGAGCCGGGCGGGTCAGTTGGCGCCCGGAGGGCAAAAGGGTCAAGAGCATTAGAGCGGCCGAATTAAATCCGCTTTTTTGCTGGAACGCGACTGATAAGATGTTTGGGCTTTGTTGTAACTTATCGGCTTTTGAATTTATTCGGAATAATCATTTTTTAAAATTTTGAATTTTTAAAATTTTAATTTTAAAAAATCTGGTAAAAGTGTTTGTGTGTGTGGGATGGTAAAAGTGTTAAAATAGGTATTAAAATGAGTTTTTCTTGATGTTTGACTCAATTGTTACCTAAACACTTGTGATTTTAAGTGTGACACATAATGCATTCCTTTCTATTTTTAGTTGATGAAAATGTCATTTTGTCTAAAAAAAATTTATCCACCCCAAAAAAATTCACCCCTCCCAATTTTTTTCAATTCAAAACGTTTATCGTAACATTTAAAAATATTAAAAAAATGTCAAAAAAATTATCCACCCCAAAAATTCTTTACCCCGCCCAAAACTTTTTACCCCGCCCAATATATATTTTTTGAAATTTGTTAAAACCCGTCATTTTAAGCCTAAATAAACTTGTTTTAACACTAAACTTTCAAATATAGCCGATTTTACTATCAATTTGTGGATTTATTGGCTCTGCATGAGAATTTCACTTTTGATCCGATAAAAGGGAGTTTTGATATGTATAGTTTATGTTATACGTATAAGATTTTTTTAAAAATATTACTTATTTTATGGTTATTAAAAATTATTTTAAAAATTTCAAAAAAAACTTTACGACCCTCCCTTTCCTTTATATATTGCGGTTAATATTGAAGCGAACGTCGCCCATTATATTAAAATAATTATTCAAAATAGCCGAATTCGTTTAGAGAAAATGGGTGAAATTCAAACCGAACTGACGTTGAAGGCCGGTCCACCGTGGGGATTCAGGATGGCGGCGAGGGATAATGGTCAAGTGTTCGTTTCGCAGGTAAAATATAGCAATTCTTTATTTTTTAGGCTTATTGTTGGCACGCTTAGAGTTAGTAGGCCTAAGGTTAGTAGACTTAAGCTTAATAGACCTAGGCTTAGTACGCATGTCTTTACTAGGCGCTCAGTTAGTAGCCGTGAGCTTTGAGACTTAAGCATTAACTGCTTCAATTAGGCTTAGTAGACATAGGCTTAGCAGGCTTGGTGTTATTAGGCGCTTAGTTAGCAGCCTTAAGTATCAAGATTTAAACCTAGTAAGCGTTATCTTATTAGGCTTAGTAATTGTGCTTAAAAACGGCAGGGTTTAGTAAGCTTAAGCTTAGTAAACCAAGGCTTAGTAGGCTTATTTTTGTGCTGATTACAAACAATAGTACATGTTTAGAGCTGTGATATGACAGTTTGTTTATTATCATGTTATTATTTGTTTATATTAAGGACATTCAACTAATGTGACTAATAAAATCTATCTTTTTTAAAATTTTATATCATAGCCATACTCTACCCTTTCCCTATTTTTCACTCTACTCTTTCTTACCCAAAATAAAAAAAAACTTTCAGGTCCTCCTAAACGGGTGTGCCGACCAAGCCGGACTAGAAGTTGGAGACATAATCGAAAAAATTGCCAATTGCCCAATGACAGATTTGGAAAAAGCTCACGAAGCGCTACGCAACGCTTCGGGCTCGCTTTGTTTAGCTGTTAAAAGGTCAGTTTAGATCTTTAAATCATTTTTTTATTTGTTTATCTTTAATTTTGAACATTTTTTAATTTAAAAATTTAACTTTTAAGAACCGAAGACAGGAAAACGCCCTATTTTTTCCTAAAAATGTGGCTTTTTGAGTGGGAAATTCAAACAGGAAATTTGTTCAACTACAAATTTGAATATTGCCTCCGGCTATTTTTAAAGTTTTTTAAAAGAAAAAGGCAGTTTTTTAAACTGGGATCTTAGTTTGTTAGCCTTTTAGTGATATTCTTACTATTTTTCCCACATAACTACCGCTAAATTTCAGAGAAAACGATTCGGATATCAGTTTGATCAACGAGAACGATCCACCAAAGGCGTTGAAGCCATTCGAAGGCTTCAGAGAATCTCAGAACCTTCAAAGTCACCCTTTCAACAACACACATCAAACTACAGAAGCCTACCGAATCTCTTCTGAATACATAAAGCCTTGTGTTGATCATCAGAAGACTCCAGAAGCTCCTAATCAGAAAGCTACTGAAAGTTTTGCGCAAAAGTATTCGGAATCTACTAACATAAGGTCTTCTGAATCTGTTGATCAAAAAGTTCCTGCAGGCAGCCCTTTGAAGCCTTCTGAAATCACTTCCCTGAGGTCTCCTGAAGCGACTAAGCAGACATTGAATCATAGACAGCCTGAAGTAAATCCAGTTCAAGGAAATTTATCAGTAGACCTACAGCCTCTACCTGATAACCTCACAGTAGACGTTAAAGACTCACGAAAGTCTCCATCACCTCTACACAGCCCTGAAACTTACCAAGCTCAGTTCATCAATAGCCCGGGGTCTATTGAGTCCAACAGTGTTAGAGGTAGCTCTAGGTCACCGTTACTTAAGCATACTAAAGGAATAGTTAATCATACTGAAAAAGTACTTGATTATACTCAAAGAGACCTCAACCATACTCAAGGACAAAGACTTGAGAGTCAGCAACAGGGCTTACAAGATCCAACAGATCAACAGAAAGGTAAAAAAAGTCATATAGAAGGTCGAAAAAGCCCTGTAGGCGAAAAAGGTCCTGTAAAAAGTGAACAAGGTCCTGTAAAAAGTGAACAAGGTCCTGCAAAAGGTGAACAAGGTCCTCTAGAAGGTAAACAACATCCTGTAGACCAACACAACGCCCTACAAAACCCTGTAGCTCATCAAACGTACCTACCACAACATAAATTCCAAACTCAAACACAAGAACAGATATTATCACCTGAAGGACCTCAATTTCCTGAAAGAGTAACCTTAATAGACTCTTATCATGAAGCTTCCAATAATTTATTAAAATCTTGTCAGAGCCTAAAAGAAACCTCAAGTTCTCAAGAAGTTTCTTTACAACAAAATCAACAAGGTAATAAGCCTCAAGTTCAACAATATAATCAACCGCAATCTGAAGAACACAACGTACAACACGTTCAACAAAGACAACAGAGCAAAAACAAAACAAAAATAGAACAGCAAAACAATACACAAGCTCATACAGGCCTACAACAACCTAATCCAAACCTAAAACAAGATCAACAAAGCCTCAAACCCAATCAGAACCTAAAGCAAGATCTACCCAGCCAAAACCAGGACCAACCAGTTCAAAAACTACCCCCTCCAGTTCTTCCAAAGCCTCCTACACCAACTCTAAAGCAAAAAGTCGAGGAAGAAGACGAAGAAAGTGAAGCGATATCAGAAAGAATCGACAATAACAAATCATTAACTGAAGGAAATAACAAGACTGTTGAATTTATTCAAGCGACAAGGCATATTACTGCTGTTGAAAATAGTCTTGGTTCAGTACAACGCTTTGAAAGAGCAGACCAGAGCTTGGAAAGTCAAAGCCTAGGTTCTGGAAGAATTTTAGAAGATCAAGGCTTGAAAAAAGGTCAAGGAATAGGACAAGATCAAGTGCAAAACCAAGGAATTCAAGAAAATCAAAGAAGAAACCAAGATAACCAAGAAAATATTAATTTAGCTTCAAAAGAAGACCAGCAATATCCCGAAAATCAAATCCAAAATCAACAAGAACAACATCCAAACCAATCTCAACAAAATCAAGAAAATACCAACCAAATCCCAGCACAAACCCGCCCATCTTTAGCCTCATTAGAAGCCAAACTTCAGCACTTCGAAGACAAAATCAAAGACGACGAAACTACGAAAAACTCGGCCAAACCCGACGACCTTCCTCGCGGCCGCATCTCGCTTGAAGTCGGCGCCAACGACTCCCCGAAGGCTCCACGGTCGGTTTCATTGGCCGCGGCCTTATCTCGAAAACCCCCACCGGCCAAGAATTATCTTGGCGGATTCCAAGGTTCGGCTTCTGATAAGAAACGCTTCTTCGAAGTTCAAGCGGCACGACTGACTTCACCGCCACGAAAAATGGGTAACAGACGGAGTCGACCAAAGTCCGTGGCTGGAAATCCGTGTTTCAGTCGAAGTCAGGCTAGTACACCAACTTTCGGGCAGGGTTTCAGCAGCTCTTACTACTATCGCTCTGAGAATTCCACACCGGTCAAGTGAGTTACTTTGAAGTTGTTTTAGGTCTGCTTGCAAAAATCAGAAAAAAATAATATCACCATCGTAATTATGAAGTTTAGTACCTAGCAAAACACGTGATATACTATTTCTCAAATTTAGGAAATAAAAAGTCTTCCCTGTATTGCTTTTAAAACTTACCACGCCTGACTTCCTAAAAAATCAAGCTAGAAATTGAATTCAAGGCAAAAAACCCTCAAAAACAAAGATATAACTTTACATTTTGCCATGAAAACATAAAGAAATTGTGTAAATAATGTTCGGAATAGTTTTATGATTAACTTATAGCAAAGTAATTGACAAATTACAATCAAAATAGCCTAAAACATCTAAAACAATATCGAAAAATTGCGAGAAAATTAATTTTTCCTGCTTTTGACACTTCGCCACAACTTTTGTGACACTTCGCGAAAGAAATTAAAAAATATTAAATTTTTTTGGGTAAAATTTGTATTGTAGACATAGCTCGATTATGTAGATTGATAATTTTAGCTATTTTTGCCCTCCGGGCGTTAAAATGACCAATAACAATGTGGAGCACCTCAGCCGGTCGTTCACTAATTCTGGTGAGTTAAAATACGACAATGATTGAGACTTCGGTTTATAAATTTAAATTTTAATACCTATTTTGATAATTTTAAACAATTTTACACAAAATTTCATATTAAAAAAGCAAAAAAGTCTTGTCGTCAATTTACCTTATTCTTCATTGCAAAAAACGACAAGACTTTTTACTCATAAATATAGTTATATTTTCAAAACACATCATTCAAAACGTTTTGTCAGCTGTCGCTTTGAATGGACTGACCTTTGAAATTACGTTTTTTTGATACTTTTTTGTAAGATTAATTGATAAACATTTAGAAAATTCGAATATTTGGGACGCACATAACCACAAACAGACAATGGAAGGATCGGAAGGAGACGGTCTGGGGAATCAAGTGAGTATTTTGTAATTTGTAAAAGTGAATTCTTATTGAAAATGGCATTTTAGGGTTTAGACTGGCTTGGTAGATTATAAAATTCAAAAATTGAAATTTTGTTACCTATTTTTTTAATTAGGCTTGTAACGGTAAGGCAGAGTAGTGTAAAATAAAGAGGAATAACAATGTACGGCAAGGGAAAACATGGTAGGGTAGAGCAAGACAAGGCTTTGATAATGGTTCGACTGATTATAGGGTTAGAGCCAAGGCTACACATGAAGAACGGGCCGGGCCCATTTGTCATGATGGGCCCGACCTAAATTTGGGCCAAGGCCGACTCGGCACGATGGTAGGTTCGCCTTGTTCCTCGTGTCTAGCAAAGGCTAGGACAGAGTGGAGTTGGTTAAAGTAGGGGAGAGTACGGTAGGGTAAGATAAGGTACGGTGAGGTAGGGAGAGGGGTAGGGTAAAGTATGGTAGTGTAGGATTGACTTTATGGACAGGACAAGACAGGGTAGGGTAGAGTAGAGTACGGTGAGGTAGAGTAGGGTAGAGTAGGATAGGATAAAGTATTGTAGAGTAGAGTAGGTTAGGGCAGGGACGTCGCTACAGATTTTCTCTGGGGGAGGGGGAGGCCGAAAAAATTTTTTTCGTTTTTTGCGTACAATTTTTTTTCGGATCGGCTCTGGGGGAGGGGGGTCCCCCCCCTCTCCCTCCCCCCAAACTACGTCCCTAGGTTAGGGTAAGATAAGACAAATAATACTTACATCTTTATTTTTCAGCCAAACCACCTATCTCAGTCTAAAACCACCCCTTCAACAATTGATCAACCAGCCACGCCAATCAGCTACCAAGTTCAAACAACTCAAATTTCACATACGGACAGTAATAACAACACTTCAAGCATTAAACATGAAGGTAATCATCAAATTGACCAACCTAATCATCAACCAGCTCATACTGATAATAATGTGAAACAAGGTGATAAAAACAATGGCAGTAATGAGGAAAAAGCGGTCAGCAAGACGAATCTCGAGCCGGTGGAGCAAAAGCCAGTGCTGAGCAGAGTACAGACTCCAGTTCGGGAATGGAGTACTGTAACTTATGTTAAGAAGGAGGTAAGGTATATTTTTATTTGGAATCTTGAAAGATTTAGTAAGAAAAGGCAAGGCAGTGTTAGAAAATTGATTTTTATTGTGTTGGGTGGGGTAATTTGTTTATTAGAATAGTGTAGCGCAGGAGAGGACAGGGTCAGGGACGTCGCTACGGATTTTCTCTGGGGGAGGGGGAGGTCGAAAAAAAATTTTTCGTCCACAGGTAGGGAGGGACCTGTGGACCGATTTTTCAAATTTTTTTTTGTTTTTTTTTGCGTACAGGTACCTACCTGTGCAATTTTTTTTCGGATCGGCTCTGGGGGAGGGGGATACCCCCCCCCCTCCCCCTCCCCCAAACGAAGTCTCTGGACAGGGTATGTCATGGTGGGGTAAGCTAGTATAACATAAGGCTAGGAAGAGGTAAAGTAAGATAGTGTAAGGTGGGGCAAAATAGGTTAAAAGCTTTTAGGTAGGAAAAAATTAATAAAAATATTGTTGTAGATACCAATCCTAGCTCAACCATATTCACCACCCCCTGAAATGCCCAGATTCGATTCTCCAGAGCCTAGGCTTATGAAACCTGTACGGTAAGTTAATAAAGGTAATTTTTACTTAAAAAAGTGATTTTTATTTTTTTCCAAGCCTAGTCTAATCTTAACTTTGACTGCAATGTGCAGTAAAAGTCAGAGAAAATTAAAAAATATTTTTTTGAAATATTGATTTTAATTTGCCTTTACATATTTTTGGCAAAGATTTAAAAAGATATTTTAAAATTTGCATACTTTACATTTTTTAATTTTTGCACCGTGCAATAATTTTAAAAGTCTGCACTGTGCAAAATGTTCAAGAACTTGTGGTCTAAATTTTTAAAATATTGATTTCAACTCGTCTTTTCATATTTTAATTAAATTTGTCAAAAAGTTTATGAAAGTTAGCATTTATTTCACATATTTTAAAATTTTTGCACCGTGCAATTTTTTTAAAATGCTTGCAAAGTGCAAACTGTTCGAGAAAGTTTGACCAAAAAATTTTTTAAATATTGGTACTAACTTGTTTTTATATATTTTTATCAAAAATGTTAAAACTTTTCTCAAAATTTGCATATTTGATGCTTCTTAATTTTTTGCACTGTGCAATCATTTTAAAAAGCCCGCACTGTGCAAAAGCTCTTTTTTTCAGTAGCTCATTTTATTTTTATGTTATTATCGTTGTCTTTTGTTTTTTGTTTACATGACAAGCAAATATTATTATAAAAAGCGAACGTTTATCAGCGAAATTAAATCACTGATTAGTTTATGGAGCTTGAGTCTTCTACTTATAATTTTACTAGAGTTGGTTTTGGTGGTCTAAAAATACCTGGAATTAAATTTTTTTAGAAATTTTTAAAATTGTAAAATACGATTTGTTGATTGAAGGAATTTATACTTATATATTAATTAATACTATATAAAATATGTAAAGTAATGTCTGTTTTGCAACTTTTCGAATTTGATTTAGAACGGTAAGTTTTAGTTTTATTCTACGTCTACTCTTACTGTTTTTCTCTCTCTAAATGGATAGGCTTGGGTTGGCTTTACTTGGTTAGGCTTGCTTTGAGATGTCCTGCCTTACTTTCGTCTTGCCTTTGCCTTGCCTTGCCTTGCCTTGCCTTGCTCTACGCTACCCTATCCTACGCTACCCTACCTTACCATAACTTACCCTACCCTACCTTGTTTTGCATTATACTGCTTTACTATGCTTTAACCTAACTTTATATTACTTTTATCGTACCTTACTATGGAGTTATTATAGCTTTTTAATGGCTTTTCTTTAGCCCTGCCGTACTATGCTCTACTTTGACCAACACACAATAGAGCATAGTACGTTTTTTACAAACTTATTTTTAAAATTTAAAAAACTTTATATTTATTTATAGACCGTTCTCCCTTTCCATGCCCTCTCCAAATGCTTCAAGTGACACTGGATTCGTATCAAACTTGTCCACGCCAAAGGTTAAATTGGATGATAAGATCGGAGAGCCAAATGAATCATCTAAAAGTTCGGTCGATTCAGCGATTCCGAATATGCTCGAACCCAACGTCAGAAATGGCTATGCAGCTTCGTGTGAAGAAACCGAGGAAGAAGGGGGCGCTGTGTCACCGCTACAAGTTGATGAAGCCGATTGGTACAAGGAGATGTTCAGGAAAATGCACGTGCTGGAAGGTGGGTGAAGAGTTATATTTTTGTTTGGAGGGGTTGGGTGGGGTAATTTTCTTAGTAGTGTAGGGTAAGGTAGAGTAAGGTAAGGTAGGGAGGGGTAGGCCAGAGTAGGGCAGGGTAGGATAGGGTAGGGTAGGGTAGGGTAAGGTAGGGTAGAGAAGAGAAAGGTAAGGAAGGGTAGTGTCTGTTATGGCAGTACGAATACAGAACTAAGATATACGGCCTGATCAACAGTGAGTATTATTTAGTACTTTAAAGATAGTGATGGTATATAAATGGCTTTGAGAATCATTGGTACTATACAGCACGTTAAAGCTAATAACAGTATGTAAACGTCTTAGGAAACCGAAAATACCTTATTGTACGTCAATTGTTAGTGATGGTATATAAACGGCTTGGGGAACCATTACTACTATACAGTACGTAAGGCAGTAACAGTATAAACCGGAGTTAACAGTACGGATACAAAACGAATGTCATATTTTGTGATGGGGTATATACGGCATAGGAAACCTATGTTTATTCAACGTACTATATAGTACTAAAATAAAGTACTTATGACAGTACGAATACAGTACAAAAATCAAAATATATACCAGGAATGCTTTCAACATCACATTTGTTATGAGATATAGGACGGCCGGGGTAAATTTTAGTACTATTTAGTAACACGTAAAGCAAGGGCACGGCCATCGGTGCAATATAAAAATCATTGCACAGTACAGTTGAAATAATTTGAAAAACAGACGTTTTGAGTGCAAAATTAGGGTAGATATAGTTGTAAATCAAGATTATAGGTTCAGTTTGTCACATTAAAAGGTATTCCAAAGAGTTGACCGCGCTCGGTAAAATTTTACAATCGTTTTCGAAGCCGAATTCATGGTCATTTGATCTTGGTGTATATGTTTTGGGGCTGGTTGTTGGATTTTTTTTTTGTAAAATCCGTATTATGTATACTTTGTGGCTTCAGAAAACTTATATACATAAAAGTAAAATGAATTTTTTCAATTTAAAATAAAGCTTTGTAAAAAAAGTTTCTTCTATTTTTTCTAATTTTCTGCTGTAAACAAAGTTTCTGCCTTATTTTAGTTTTGTAAAGAAAGTTTCTTCCTTTTCTTCAAATTTTACACTGTAAAGAAAGTTTCTGCATGTCAAATCAAAAAAGTGCATAAAAATGATTTTTTATGTAAATCACTTCATGTTCATGTCATAATGATCAAATAAGACGAAAATTAGATTTAAATGAAATACAAAAGAGGGAATTGTTTTAAAGCCCTGGGGGCATAAATGAGTGAAAGAATTGAAAAAAAAACGATATTTTTATGGGTCTTTCCTTCGAAACAGATATGCTTTGATTATATGTTTCTGTTACTATTGTTTCGAAACTTTCGAGATTCTAGAATACTGTACTTCCTACTGTAACATTTTATTATGTATTTTGAATACTGTGACTAATTTTGGCCTACAAAGTTAACTTACGGTAATGGAAGACTATAATTGTAAATATGAGGACATTGAAGATGATGGTAAGATTAGTCAAAAATTACCCCGCCCATGAAAAAAACGGCAAAATTTACCCTGCTTTTAATTTCTTTTGGGTTGTTTTTTACCACGCCCTACGTATTTTTCTTTAAAATGACTCTTGCCCTACCCCTTCCTGTATCCCTAACCCGGCCCTTACCCCTAACCCGACCCCTACCCCTACTCCTACTGCTTGCTCTACCCCCTTGCTCTACTTCTTGCTATACCCCTCTGGCTCTTACCCCTTCCTTTACCCTAAATTTAAAAAATTATAATATTACCCTCCTTTCACGGTCTGTGGCTTTTCGTTCTCACACTGAACGATCAATGAGAACAAACAAAGATTGGTCGGTTTGTCTCGCGCACTCTCGCCTCTTCTCGCTATATCAGGTTGCTTTTGATTACTTAACCTCTATATAACGTTTTTTTGCTGTTTTCTTTTTGCTAAGCAGTTACTATTATTAGCCAAAATTGTGGATTTTTAGGGGATTTAAAAAATTTTTTTTATTTTTTGAAAAAATTAAAATTATGTAAGGAAAGATCTGGTGCTTATGGTCTGAGAGGCAGGATTAGAGCAAAAGAGGCAGTGTACTATATTTTTAATGATGTATGAAATTATAGTTGTTAAAGAAAAATAACAAGGAAACTGCCAGATTTTAACCATCTGGACCTTGTCTTTAATTTCTGCTTTATCAAGTTTTTAATGTCGTTTTCATACACAATTTTAATCGTCCTCAATATTTTTCACCCAATTTTTTTCGAGATTAGTAGGGCCAGTCCTGTGGAGTCTTGAAAAAAAATTTTTAAAAAAGTCCACAGTTTCTTGCCAACTTGTGGGAAATTTTTTTTTCGTTTTTTCTTTTCTTCCAAACCAAAACTGCCCATCCGCCATTACCCTTACCCCTGATCATCATTCTTATCTCGTCTTAACCCATCTATTATATTACTCTAGATCTGAAAGTGGGCCAAGTAAATCCGGGCTGTGCCGAAAAAAAATTTTTAAAGAGATCGGGCAGGAGGGCAGGACATAGTAGGGTAGGGTAGCGTATGATAAGGATAATGTAAATTAAGTTAAGAGATATTAGGAAAAGGTATGGTAAGTTAGGGTATGGTAGAGAAGGGTAGGGTAGGATAGGGTAGGGTAGAATAACCCTGCCCCCTCCTTTCCCTATCTCACCTTATCTCCTATCTCTCCCTCTTCCCCAAACCCATTTCCCTCACCACCCTCCCAGATCAGCACACTATCTCGCATGTTTAGCTTGGAGTTGTTGGCGACCTGAGGCCAAGAACTTTTGTATCCGACAAATCTTTTTATTCCTCTCGAAAGTGCGTGAGACAAAGGACCCATGACATGATATACGGGGGACTAAAGAGAGAAACATCTCGTTATTAGATTATTGTTCTATATCCTCTTTATTCCTATTCATATGTTATGGTGCTGTTTTGCAGTACTGGTTAGAATATTATAAAATTTTGGCGGTTTTTTGGATTTTTTGGCAAAATTTGAACTTTTTTTTAAAATTTTGAAAAAATTAGGCTTTGTAGTTGATTTTAAAGTTGTTTTTCATCTTATACATGGACACTTCTTCCATTTTTTTAAATTCAAAATTTTTTTGAAATTTAAAATTTTTTTTTGAATTTTTGAAAAAAGTTTCATTTTTTTTTCAGTTTTATGACTAAAAGTTCATTTAAAATCCCCAAAAAAATTTTTGCAAAGTTAAAAACGTGCGTTATTTGCTTTGTAAAGTTTATTTACTTATGTTTATTCAACAATCCTTTTGGGGGGCTTCCGGTAAATATGTTTACTTTTATGACGACGGTCCTACTGGGGTTGTGTTGAAGGCTACTTTGTTACATTCAACTTGTAATTTACTAGAAATGTATTCGTCTGGCCGAAATTTTGATTTTTTGAAGGACTTAACTATCGCAATTTGTTTTTAATGTCAAAAAACAAAGAAAAAATTATTGACCTGTCGATTTTTTTTGTAAAATACGGTGTTTGTATCAAAGATTAAAATACAAAAATTTAAGAATTTTTCAAAAATTGTGTATTATTAGGTTGTTAAAATAATTCTGTGCCCCACAAATCCAAAAATTTGCTTTAAAACAGAGCACAGATTATTTGACCAAGCTAATACCTTACTAGTCTAATGTTATGACCCCGGTGGTATTTACTCTTTGAGGGCTCAGAATTATTTGAACATCCTAATATTATAGTATTTAGCAAAGTTGAACTCCATAACAAGGCGAAATAACACTTTGCTTTCTAAATTTGAATGTCTTGGGGAAATTTTTAAAAAGCGAAAAAATAAACGAAAAGTGAGGACCTGAAGGGGCACGTTCCTTCCTCTTCTTTGGCCTTCTCTTTATGGCAAAAAGGTCGCGGAGAATATGCTAAATTACATTATGTTTCGTCGAGATTAACGGGTTTTTATATTGTTTCGACGATTTTGGGGGAAACGTTGTTTTAGTTTTGCACATTATAGTAGATTTTGTGTGAATTTTCAAAAATTTAGGTCGTTAGGGGACTATTCATTAATTTTTAAATGTAGTTGTTACTTTTGCAAACATTTCTCCTATTTTTAGTCGCTTTGCGCAGCAAAAAATCAACAGTTTTTAAAATTTCCAGTTCTACATAAAGTTAGCGTATTTTACAATAACTTTAAAATTTCTAGATCATTCCTTCCCTTCCCAACACCGTGATCAACCTCTGACACCAGTACGATCACCCCCACCGATCCCTATACAAGGTTCACATCAGTCTCAGGAAGATCTTGGAGGATTTGAAGCCGCCCCACCGCGGATCAAAGCGTTGGACCAAGATCTACATCATCTACCTTACAGTAGTGACAAATCTCAAAATCACGTGCCCTATACCCAATCACACCATTCTCCTCAATCTCCTATACCACGTGACTTAACCAGCCCTACTCAAGAAAAATATCGTATAAATAATTCTACACAACAACAATATCAGCTAACTAGTCCAGATCAACAACAATACAACTCAAATAATCTTAATCAAGAACTAGATCAAAGACAGCTTCAATCGCCGCAGTTTGAAGCAGAACAGAACATTCAACATCACCTACAACAAGGTCAAGCCTACCTCGAACAAGCTCAAGAACAGCTCGACGAGGAGATGAATGGCAGAAACAGTCGGTCGCAAAGTGTCCCACGACGCTACGATCCCGTAGCCGACATGGAAATCATCGACCAAGCGTATCAATTGAAAAAACGGTCGGTTATGGGGAATGGTCGATTTTATTCAAACCAAAATTTGAATGGAGATTTACAAGGAAGATTGAGTCCGTTTGATGAAAGCTATGGTGAGTTTGTAATTTTTGGAGTAAGTAGTTGTTCTTTGCTTATGATAGGTAAAACTATCACTTCATATTGGATCTGGTTTTATTTCGTAAATATTTTCTTCAAGAACGGTTTCGTCGAGTTGCCTAGAATAATATAATTAGAAACTAATTTTTTAAAGAAGATGTTACAATAATATTTCAAAAACCTCTTTACCTCAAAAGAAAAACATTCAAAATGAAGAGAATAAACAAAAAATCGCGCTTTTTATAGAGAAATTGTTTTCCTTTTTGCGCCCAATTTGCTGCAAACTGGGGAGCCTAATTATACTACTAAACTAAACATTTCTGAATTCAACTTTTCTAATATTATAACAAAGCTTGAATTAGTAAAAATAATACTATAGCACTAATATGAGTGACTCTAATACTATTTCTAATTGCAGTAACTTTACCTTTCTGAAAATTCGAAAAACGTAAAAAAGATATTATATTAACATTAATAATCTTTTGAAGTGCAATAACATTTTCAGAAGAAGTTTACAAAAATGCCGGTGCAATAGCGCGTCTAGCTGCTCCAGAAATCTCAGTAAGAAGATGCTCTCCATCCTCCTCAATCTCTAACATATCCCATGTGTCACAACTTAAACCCACTCATACCCATTTTCATCTACCTTCCCATCGCTTACGACTAAACTCAGAATCCGATCGACCAAAGAGTGCTTCAAGTAATGCTACGCGATCAGTGAAAACTCCAGAAGTCAGTTGGTTAGAGGTTGAACAATTTAGCGAAAAATTGGGAAAACCAACAAAGCTACGGTGGAAACAACGATCTTTGGAGTCTGTAGCCGATCAAACTGTTCAACATCAAATTGAAGATAAGTTGGATAAGGCATCCAGAGACTTGGATAGACTGCTTGATGATTTACAATTACAACATCTAAAGGCTATGAGAGCGGATTCTGGAGTGTATTGTTCTAGCCGATCCACTAGTTCTAACGAGTGCAATACAGGTACTAATAGTTGTGGTTTGAAGTGGTTTTGAGTAACTAGTTATTAGTAATGGCAGGCGTGGGTTTGGGACTAATTTTAAGGATAGAGGGGATGTTTTACAAATTTCTTTTCAGAAATTAAATTTATAATAAGACCAAAATTTTTAAGCCTAATGATAACATTTAAAAAGTTTTTTTAGGATTTTTACAAAACGGTACAGCAACATTATCAAAAGGTGCTAGAGAAATGAAACGGCTACAAAAAGAGGAAATGCTAAGCCGACAAAGAGCTGATAAACTTACTTCTGAACTTGATGATCAGAGGTCAAGACGACATGGATACATGTAAGTTAGCCTAAAGTGGCAAAAAAGTAAAAATTTTACCTAAACATTAAAATTTGACTCAAAAGGTTTTAATTTGGCAAAACGATATTAAAATGTTACCTAAAAATCAAAATAATACTATATTAAAATTTCAGTCCAAACGTTTCCCCATCACTACAGAACAACTACAATCGACTAGATCAACTTTTGGTCGATTTTGATCAACCGAGAAGGCCAGCCACGTCAATGAGTGCTCCTCAAAAACAACTAATGCACTCGACATCAGCTCACTCGTTGAACAGAAGACCAGCCACAAGCAATGTACTTACTTGCACCGTGCTGTACAAGTTTGTCGCTCAACATCCTCGGTATGACAATGCTTTACAATAGCATTTTCTTTGGCTAGGCTTGCTGTAGTATTTAAATTGTGTAAAAAAGCTTTTAAAATTTTTATTTCAGTGAACTATCGTTGAACCGAGGCGATGTGGTCCGAGTTCACCGTGAAGTAGACGATCATTGGCTGGAAGGGGAAAGGAACGGGCATGTTGGTATCTTCCCGGCTTCGTATGTTCAGGTAGCTTATTTTCTCGATATTTTAGTATATTTTTAAAATTTTTTTTATTTTGAAAAATTTTTTTTTGAGAAAAAATTGAACTTGGTCCCCCTTGTGGATTTTTCAAAATAAAAAAAAAGTTTGTTTTTAAGAAAAAATTTTTAACTTTAAGACTCTTTAATTATTCTAAATCTAATGTAAAGCAATTTTCAGATTGACTCCGATGTCACGACCAGCGGTCGAAACCGAGTTCGAGCCATCTACCCCTTCCAGGCTCGAAATTCGAATGAATTATCGCTGAAAGCTGTAGGTTTATCAATGGTCTTTTACTTTTTTTTGACTGTTAGATGAAGATACTGATTTAGACGTATTTTACGCTGGACTTTGAAGTTTTTTAGAAAAAAAAGGTTTGAGATTTTAGTCAACGTACTCCCCCCTGTGGAGAAAATTGAAAATTTTGGGATTTTTTTTTTCTGTTTTTTGACTTCTTTGTCGATTTTTATACAAATCAAGGGGGTACAGGATGAACAACGTAATATTACAGTAGAAAATTAACTATTTCGCTTATTTCCCCCAATTTTTCAGGGTGAAATCCTAAAACTTCGTCGAGAAATTGACTCGAATTGGGTAGAAGGTAACAACTCTCATGGTAGTATCGGTATCTTTCCCCGATCATACGTCCGAGACCTTGAACTCGACGATTCCGACTTCTCGTCAGCCTCTGGTGGAATTCCAGACCGGCCGAAAACTCCGAAACTGCCAAACTCAAACAGCACCAATTTTAACAGGTTGGTTTGAAATTTTGAAGAATTTTGAAATTTTTAAAAATTTTGAAAGTTTGAAAAATTTGAAATTATGAAAAATTTTATATTTTAAATTTTGAAGACACAGCTGAAAATTTTGAGTACTGTATCTTACTGTATCAAAAATTTTAAAAGTTCAAGCTTTCAAAACTCATACCTATATAAAAATAGCCATTTCGAAACCCGTGAGTCAAAATTTAAATAATTTATTCGCTCAAAACCGGCTGTCTGACCGAACGGAGACCAGAATTTTAAATGCGAAATGAGTAAGCGTGGCTAGTAATATAGTTCACGTTGTGTGTCTGAACTAAAACTGTTTATCATTTGTTGGAAAATGCAATTTGATCTGAGAAAACTGAAAAAATGATGGTTTATTTATTAAATTGTATATAAAATAATGAGCCACTGATGTATTAATTCGTACAAAAGGTACTGAGCTACTGATTTATTAGATTGTATAAAAGGGAATGAGCTACTGATTTATAAGTTTGTATAAGAAGTATTGAGCTACTGAACTTTTCATATCGCAATGAAAGACATAGCTCATAACTTTGTATACAAACTAATAGATTTTAATTAAAATTATTTTAACTCTTTATGGTCAGTTTAGATAATTTAGTAGCTTTTAAGGGGTTAAACTTGGCATGGCTTATGGAGAATTCATAGAAACTTAGCTCATTGCTTTTTATACACTTTTTATGTTACCATTTGGCCGTATAACTTTTGGAAACAACGTAGTATGTCTTTGTATATTTATATGTTGTATTATGATCATAATATAAATTCTGAGGGTGGTATGCTTATATAACTTGCTATGATACTATAGTTTTTAAAATTTCTCTTCAAAATTCAAAAAATTGAAAAAATCTAAACAGGGGGGGGACCAAGTTTAATATTTTTGAAACAAAAAAACTATTTTTTAAAAAGAGGGGTACTTTTTCATAAAAGCACAGTACTTGCATTTTTAAAAGTATAAAGATTAGCACTTTGTGCCAAATTGTCAATGCTTCACCTACTATGGTTAACAACTTACAGGTCGTTAAATCTTCTAAGAACCTATGTTTTCTGAGCGGAATTGAACTTTTTTGGATTTTTGACATTTTTAATTAACCATAACTTTTTGTTCAAACAATATATCATGCTGAAAGTTTGGGAATATAAACTACATTGTCTACTCTACCTAACGTATGTACTCAATTTTTGTAAAATAGTTACGGTAACTTTTTATGACTTAAAATTGACTTTGTCTTCAATTTTTTTTTGGAAAAATGCTTTTGTAAGATTAAGTTTTTAGGTAAAAAAGCTGTTTAGATTATTTAAAAAGTACGTAAAATACTTTTTTGTGGTGTTTGAGTATTCATAAAGTATGATTTTAGAACTTTCTAGTCCCAATCCTTTGAGTTATAAACAAAAAATGCAAATTGCGGCGTGTTAATAGTGTTAGATGAACTGGCTAATTATTCAGAGCATCGGAACGATCAGCTATGGAACTGATTTTTGAATATTAAGTGTTGAGGGTGGCTTGCTTTTAATTTATTTTAGTTTTTGAGGGATCACGGGGTGATCGGTTGGACCTTACACTATATTGTAGTAGGTCTTGTCTATGTTAATGTTGAGTGATTGATAGGTTTTGGGCTTTAATAGGTTGTATTATGATTTTTGAAAGTATAGGAGGGTAGGGTAGGGTGGTAGGGTAGAGCAAGGCAAAGCAAAGGCAAGACGAAAGTAAGGCAGGGCAGTGCAAGGCAAGGCACGCTAATCCAAGCTTCGCCAATCTTAAGCAAAGCAAGCCTAGCCAAGCCAAGCCTTGGCAAGACAGATCAGGTAGGGTAAAGTAGATCAACTTAATATATGACAGCTTGTTACTACAATCTAATAAATAGATATCAGCTCTCCAAAGCACTTTCAAAACACTGTGAAGTAAACCAAAACAATATAAACAGCTATTTGATACCATAACTCTCATGATTTGTTGTTTCTCACCTGTTCGATAACATGTCATTTCTAGTTTTGTTGTCTCGACAAATATTATTTTTTACGTCTGACATTCGAAACTGATTTCTGTTCGAAAAGGTTTCAAGTTTGTGGCCGAAACTGGTTTTTATGACAAATTTTTTGTGAATAGGTGAAGGGGAAGTAAAAATTGGTTGTAGGGGTAGGATTAGAGGTGGCTACCGGCTCGGTCTAGTATGAAAATCAAAACCGGGATCTCGGTTCTAAATTTTTTGTTCGGACCGATTTGAAAATGCATTTTGACCGGACTGATAAAATGGGCAGGGTATGACAGAGTAAGGTTACCTAAAGCTACAGTAAGATTATAAAAATACAGTAAGAAGTTTGCACGTTTAAAGAGTCAATGAGCACGTTTGAGACGTGTTTTAACCTTTGATTTGACGCAAAAAAAAACTGTAAATGATACTTTTTGATCTAAACCATCTGCAAGATTACTTTGTCTACGTAGCTGCTCTTTTAAAACTGAAATTTTAAGTTTCAAAATTAACAGTAAGGCTAGAAGTAAAAATTTTAAAACCTATTAAAAACCCACTTTGTCATAACATCTTTTTACTTTCCCCAATCGTATCTTCATCTTTGAAATTGCTTTTGTTTTATTGTCAATTCTTATCTCTGGGGAGTGGCAGGAGATGGGACAAAACTTTCTGTCCACAAAAGTGTCATTCGTTTTGTTTTGTCCAATCAACGTTTAAATGAAGGTCCCTGAGGGCGAAAAATCATAAAAGCGTCATGTTTTTGGCAGGATCATAAAACAAGGCCACAGGGCGAGAACCAGTTTTTTAGGCTTGGGAGGTGGCTTTTGAACTTTTTTGGAGACGTACCTAAGATAATTAGGCATAAAACGTGCAGCTTTAACGAAGTGTACTAGTACCTGCGTACGTTACACTACCCTACTTTACATTACCTTACCAGGCCTTATCATATACTATACTACCTTAGTTTAGTCTCTCTTATCTTACCGTATACTACCCTAACTTATCCTATCTTACCCAATCCTGCCCTAACCGACCCTATTTTCCAACTTTAACTTTTGGTTACTGTACTTATACCGTAGCTTTATCTTCCTCTTATCTAGCCTTACTGTAGCATATATACAATCTTAACCTTATCGTAAGGCCAACATATCTATTACTTTCCTTTAACAATCTTGTTTTACATATCTATTTACCGCTTTATTTTATGCCATTTTGTTTGTGGCCTTGCGGCTGTCCACTATACGAATTTCTTTGTTTTTTTGAGATTTATTAAGCCATTGTTTTACTGTAAAGTGTTTTGTTCCAAGTCGTTTTTTGAAACATTCACGGTTGTTTTTTGAGGGAGAAGAGGGCGGATTTTGGCTTGGGGTGGTCGCTTTTTATTTTTAGGCTTTATTTTGAAATTTTTCTTAAAGTTATGGACGGGGGCCGGAAAGGGGGTGATTTTTGGTATGGAGAGGGAGGAGGAGAGGGGGAATATGAAATTTTGTTATAAAGCTTGTGGCTGTGATTTAAAAAAGTCAGAAAAAAAATTTTCTTGGGCGGGTAAATTTTTTTTAAAGGGGGGGGTGGGGGGAGAGTGTATAAAAAATATTTTTTTTTATTTTCAGTTAGCATTTTGTGTCGATTTATACATTTTTCTAAAATTTTTTTGAGCGTGGTAAATTTTGGATAGGGGGGGGGGAGTGCCAAAATTTTTTTTTTTTTTTTGGGGTTAAACCATATCCAGGAAGACGATATGAATTTTTTTGATAAATAATGTTATGACCATTTTTAAACCTCTGTTTTGATTAAAAGGTCATAAAATAAAGCAGCAGCATGGTAAGTGCGGTTTACAATGCCATTTTTGTTATCAATTCGGCTTTATCGGTCAACTTATTTCTCTCAAAAATTTAATGTTTTTGCAACCATAATCAGATGGTTTTGTCGAAAGAATGAAAAATTGATCATTTAGTGTTGTAGCTGGCTGTAGGTTACTATAAGGGTCGCCTTTAGTTTGTCATTAAGAATGGTCATTAATCGACCGCCTTCCGGTTGATTTATACAAGTCTTTTTCTTATGACATTGTAGCGTATGATTAACAGTAAAACATTAATGTAATACATGACACACTCATGTTGAAGTCAAATTTAGAGTGGCAGAGTGGTTTGAAGTGTGCTCGGTGATTACTTTTTAATGTAGATCTATTTGTCATGGTCATAAGTTTTGGGCTTGTGTTTAAAATGACAATTTTCAAAGATCATAGTAAGCAGAATAGATTTGGTAATGAGAATAGTAAAGTTGGACTGGGTAGGGTGACGTAAGATAGACTAGACTAGGGTATGTTATCATAGACTAGAATATGGTAGTGTAGGGTATTGTAAAGCAAGGTATAATAGGTAGGGTTTTGTAGGGTAACGTAGTGTAGGGTAGGATAGGTAAGACTTTTATAGTAGAGTAGGATAGGGAAGACTCTTACCTTCATCACTACTATTACTCTTATTTTTATCTTTGCTTTCATTTCCCTAGTACTCTTGGTTTCTCTTTAACGAGCTTGTCTATAAAAGACTCTTCTCTAATAAATTCTTTTGTAAACACCTTCTCTATAAAGAACTTATTCATAAAGAACTTCTGTATAACGAACGCTTTTATAAAGAGCTTCTCTATCACAAACTTTTCTATTACGAACTCTCAGGACCGGGCGGGGACTTTGTTTTAGTCTGAGAGGAGGGGGAGGGGGGGGGGTTGAAAAAATGTTTTGCAAAATTTTTTTACCAAATATTCAAAGGGGCTTTTTTTGGAAAACGTTTTTTGGGGTGTACCTCCTGTCTCGTCTCTCCCTCTTTCGCGCCCGGCCCTGTGTACTCTAATGTAAAAAACTCTTCTATAACGAACTCTTGACGAAAATCCTATATAACGAATAATTTTTAAATCTCTAGCGGACACTACAGAATGCGTTTAAAACTTTTGTGTACCAACTTCTTCATAACGAACAAATTTTAAACACTTGAGCGATTTGTTACAGTAG